GAGAATTTGTAACATTTAAGGCTTATTAATTTGGAAGAGAGTACCCAACAATGTTTCATGATTCAGGTCTAAAACGTTGCAGGCAAAACAAAACAAAACAAAATAAAAACAAAACAAAAAAACTTATGGAAAGTGTCAGAGTTATGTAGTCTAGGCTAGCTATGGCTTGCCTGTTCTATGAAAGAGTCAGGGTTATGTTGTCTAGGCTAGCTCTGGTTCGCTTTTCTGTGAACTCCACACTATAGCAGGGAAGTCACAGTCAACTACAAACTTCTTACCATGGTTACATGTGAACTAAAACAAGACCTGAGTGGCTATGACAGTTCGTGTGAGCCTCAGTCTTAATGTACTGACTGTCCTTAAGGAAAACTTCATTCTCCCGTGGGCTACCATCAGCAGCCAGTATGGTTCATATTTCTATCCTCAATATAAATTTCCTTAGTAAACAGGGATGCTGGAACTACACAGGCTTAGTTATTGTCCACTTATTAAACAACTGTTAGCTCTTATGATTCTATGACTTATAGGAGAAAGAACACTAAGAGCCAGAGGGGTTGAATTCACCAGGAGAACACAGCCCACAGAGCCAGCTAAGCAAGGCTCATAAACCTGAAGCAACAACCACAGAGCCCACATAGGTCTGTCCTAGATCCTATACATATCTATTATGCCTATTACCTTTGTCTTCTGTGGGACTCTTAACAGAGGAAGTGGAGGTATATCTGACTCTTTTACCTTCTCTTGGGAGCCTTTCCCTCCTACTGGATTGCCTCAACCAGCCATGATATGAGGGTTTGTATCTGGTGTTAATGTATTTTGTTATGATATCCCTTGGGCCTGCTCTTTTATGAAGGGAAATGGAGGAGTGGGAGAGGACATGTAAGGGAGTTTGGAAGGAGGAGAAACAACAGTCAGGATGTATTGTATGAGAGAAGAATTAAAAAAAAATAGCTGTTATCTGCCACCGAAATATAATTAATGGGTAGCACTTAGTAGACCAAACCAGGGGCTCAGATAAGTTTCCAAGTAGAGGCTCAGTAGCCTTTGTCTTGTTTTACCCATTCACTGGTCAACTGGTGGGAGACTCATTGAGGATCCACAGACATACAAAAGAGGGAGAGAGGGAGGGAGAGAGAGAAAGAGAGAGAGAGAGAGAGAGAGAGAGAGAGAAAGAAGAGAGAGAAGTTAGCCAGTCTATGATAGAGACCTTTGGGTGACAGAATTGACAGGATAAAATACTTAACTAAATATTACATAAAAAAGGACGTGAGTTATAACCTAAGCATTTGGGATGAGAGGCCACATAGGATGCTATGTAACTGCGATGCCAGAAAGTATTGGAGGCTCATGATGTGAGGGGACAGAAGAATGGAAAGAAATACAAATTGATTTAATATTAATGTGTAACTTTAGAAATGCTTCAGGCCTTAAATAGAGGCATCATATTTGCATTTTGGAAATATCAGAGACATGTCAGAACTAGAGATATAACCTAGGAATACAGATCCTAGATTCTTCCAAAAATGAACAGTGAGAGAGATTAAAACAATGAGATCAACTTATGACAACACATGTGAGAGTTATGATTAAAAAGCACACTCATGTGCATATGTCTTTGTGCATACATGTGTGTGCATGTGTGCAAGTGTGTGTGTATGCATGCATGTGTGTACATGTGCAAGTGTGTATATGCATGCATGTGTGTACATGTGCAAGAGTGTGTGTGAATGTGTGCAAGTGCATGTGCATGTGCATGTGTGCATGCCATCTGCTTTAGTATGAAGAAGTAAAGGCACTGGAAGATGAATATTCTTTGCCTTCTAGCTCAGAGTTGAACCAAAACAGTCAAGAAAATTGCTGGTTGTGTGTTATGAGATAAAAGCTGTAAAATACAGAGTGGGAGAATAGAAAAATACATACACAAAGTCAATACAAAATGAATAAATTGTTCTTAATACATCAAATGTCTGTGTGTCTTCCTATTACTGCTGATGCCTGTCAAATAGTTCCTAAAGACTTAACAAATGCTCCTGTGAGTAGAGAAACGTATTCATTCCCAGTTACATGGACTGACATTTGGTAAATGCTCACATTGTAAGACAAACTATGCTGCTTAATTTATGCTTTATTCCACATCTAAATCTTAAAAAAAAAAAGAACCCATTACCCCCCCCCCGCAAAAAAAAAAAAAAAAAAAAAAAAAAACACTAACTGATATGTGTATCACAAATAACAAAAACCCAGAGACAGATATTCGGGTTAAAACTGAAGATCAGAGAAGCAATGTGCCAGCCACTAGAGAGTTCTCACCTCTACCAATACTCAGACTGAAAGGGCAATCCAGTCATGAGATTACATCTCCAGACTTCATCTGTCTCCATCAAACCTTGGACTGCCATCTGCCTAGAAGGCACTGCTTCTTACCAAATCTCAGAATGCCTCGGTCTTCACCAAGCCTCAGAATGCAATGAGAGCCTGCCTTATATTCCTCTCTTCACCCAGCCATATCACACCTGTCTCTACCCCCTTAGTGCTGGGATCATCGGGGTGAGCTCTGTTTCTCTTTTCGAATGATTCTCTCTCATGTAGCCCAGGGTGCCCTTGAACTCACAGAGACCCATCTGTCTCTGTCTGCTGGGATTAAAGGTATGTACTACCACTGGCTGGCCTGTATGGCTGTGACTAGACTTGTACGATGATCTCCAGGTAAGTTTTATTTGTTATATCATAAACATAGATAAATTGTTGTTAAATATATAATTTATACATATAACTTTCTTTTATTTTCAAGACAGTGTTTCTCTATATTGTTTTTGAGCCTGTTCTGGAACTAGTGCTTTAGACTGGGCTGGCCTCGAACTCACAGAGATCCCCCTGCCTTTGCCTCCCAAGTGCAGGGACTAAAGGCATACCACCAATGTCCAGCATATAACTTTCAAAAGCTGAATAGAGAAGTAACAGATTCACTCATTTGCTGTGGAAGACCATTCTGCAGGGTTTTCTGTAGCCTACTCTATCTCCCATTTCTCTCACTATAGAATGATCCAAAATGTCCAATGAGTCCCTTGTTAGTTATTTGCTAATAAGAACAGTGGAAGCTGTTGTTGAGGACATAAGTAGACAACTATCATCTTGTGAAAACTTTGCCTATATTTGATAACCATAGAGCATTGAAATACACATGAAAATTTCATTATCAAGTACTTAATTTTTTGAAACTTGCAATAAACTGATGAGTCAGAAAGCTCCCCAACTTTAAAGCCTATGCATATGTCTGGTGAAATTAAAGACAGATCTGAATGTTACCCAGTGCAGTGATGTCACAATGTCATCAGTACATGTATTGTCCTACATGATGGAAGTGTAGTTTTATAGTTTTTATGTTTTCTATTTTTTTTTAATTTTCTTCTACTAAATATTAAATAGTTAAATGTGATATCTGTATAAATTATGATTGCTGTGGCATAGTTTTATACTTTATCCTGGTTTTCTCCCTATCTTCCCTGTGCTAAAATCTCTGTAAAAAGGACAAATGCATCAAAAGTAAGTAAAAAACATTATACTCTCCAAGGAGGATGGAAGCATGTTGAATCTGCATAGTTTATACTATTGTGGAATAATTGGATGAAGATGTGTTACATTCATTTATGCCATGGAATATCTTGCAGGTATGTGTTGCATTACTTTATGTTGCATTTGTTTAACTCTATAAAGCTGTGTTACACTGCCTATCTAAAATTCCTTATAGGACTGTAAGGCGCTGATAGGCCAATAGCTAGACAGAGGAGACCAATGGGGATGGTTGCGAGAAAGAAGATTGAGAAGAGGGAGGAGCAAACAAAGGAGGAGAGGAGGATGCCAAGGGCCAGCCACTCAGCCATGCCAGTCACCTAGTCAGACAGCCACACAGCCACACAGCCACACAGCCACGCCAGTCACCTAGTCAGACAGCCACACAGCCACACAGCCACCCCAGTCACCTAGTCAGACAGCCACACAGCCACACAGCCACACAGCCACACAGCCACCCCAGTCACCTAGTCAGACAGCCACACAGCCACCCCAGTCACCTAGTTAGACAGCCACACAGCCACAAAGCCACACAGCCACAAAGCCACACAGCCACACAGCCACCCCAGTCACCTAGTCAGACAGCCACACAGCCACACAGCCACACAGCCACCCCAGTCACCTACCTAGTCAGACAGCCACACAGCCACTGAGCCACACAGCCACACAGCCACACAGCCACCCCAGTCACCTAGTTAGACAGCCACACAGCCACACAGCCACGCCAGTCACCTAGTCAGACAGCCACACAGCCACACAGCCACACAGCCACCCCAGTCACCTAGTCAGACAGCCACACAGCCACACAGCCACACAGCCACTCAGCCACACAGCTACACAGCCACAGAGAAAGAGGGAAAGAAACATATATACAGCAAACAAAGATAAAAATGCAAAAGGTAAAACGTAGTTAAAGAGAAATAGAGTAATTTAAGTTAGAAAGGCTGGCTAGAAAGAAGCCAAGCTAAGAAAATCATTTATAAGGAAGGATAAGTCTCCATGTATTTATAAGGAAGCTGGGTAGAGGACCCCCCCAGAGAGTTAATAGAAAAAACACATTATATCATCTAAGTCTTTATGGGTAAAAATAACTGATACACTGGTGAAACCGTTATTTTGACAAAGGAAAATGAAATTCAGAAATTGCTTTAATAACATAATTGGGAAATACATAATAATTAAATTGGGTAATTAAAATTTTTGCTGCATATTATAGATTAATAAAATTCAGCAATAAAGAAAGTAGCAGAAAATTTGAAAGTAGTTTCATAAATTGTCATCATCAGAGCCTATGGAACTGTACAGTCTTTTGAAGACTTTTTGAAGAAGTCATATAGCGTTGACTCATTTTTTGGACACATGGATATAACTGATTGCAAAGTCAGCCAGTTGTACAACATAATCTGTATAAAAACACAACTCTCTTCTCTTTCAACTTGAACACATTCATGCCTGGACACACTTGTGTAGAGCATGTCCTCCAAGTATTATTTCAAGATGCCTTCAATAAAGATAGGGCCACAATTTACAATTATCATCAGCTGTGAACTGGTACTGGTTCATTCTTATTCTCTTTTAAGAGACTTAGATGTGTAATTTGTCCTAATAAACTCAGCCTTTGCTTTAGCGTCCTCTAGTCTTGCACAGGCTTTTTGAAAGATGAGTGTATCAATAACAAATTTCTCTTCACCATGTCTTCTACGAATTTCTTCAGTCCTGTGAGGGAAAAGGAAGAGTAAAACCATATAAACTGAGCTGCTGTAAATGAATTTAGATGTTTTCAAGCAGGCATTTATAAACAGGGAAATGATAAAGTCAGTCTCCACAGTATTATTACATTACTAAATGATAGTCAATTCATGTTAGATTAAAATTTATGAGACTTTCATTGAAAACCCTGAAAATCCTCTCACAGTTTTTCTTACTTTCCCCCCCCAAAGGACCCACAATCCTTGTGTTATGAAGAGCAGAACTTCCCCACTAGAATTAGGAACTCTGTGCTTCCTTTCATGATTCTGGAAGGCACAGATGGTCTACCCTCGAAATTTTATTGTTATAGCACACCACCTGGCATTTCACTGCCTTTGGAGATGGGAGATCATGTGGATGGGTTCAAATCCAACATGACTAATGCTCTGATGAGAAAAGGAACACACTAGTAATGGGTGCTCCGGTAAGAACACATGTTAAGCCACTGTAAGAGGGCAGCCATCTGAAGCAGAGTAAATAATAAGCTGAGGAAAAACCAAACCTATGTGCACTTCCAAGTCAGAGAAGTCAGAAAATAAGTCTCTTGTATTCAGACTGCTCAGCCTATAGTATTTTGAGACAGTAAATCAACAAGACAGATACATATTTTAAGTTAGAAAGACCTAGATCAGATTACACCCAGGAAATGTCAAAGGATGGAAGAAAAAAGTCATTCAGTTATTCTCACTCATTCATTCATTCATTCATTTTCAAAGTATGACAGCATCTCCACATGCTTCAAACAGAAATAAGAATAAATAGAAACTTATCCTAGTTATCCTCGACAAAGGTGCACAGGAAATTAAGAGAAAGATGCAGAGAGAGCTTGCATCAAATGTCTTACTAAAACAAGAAACTTACTATGGAACAAGACAAAATAAGGTAAGAAATGAAGTAAAAGTTGACAATCAAGCCTACAAAATGAGTAGAGAAAAGACAAAAAGAGATTAAGACACGAAATAACTCACGACTTAAAGAAAGAAAGAAAGAAAGGAAAAGAAAACACACACACTTCCAGGCAGAGACTCAGAGACAAATCATTTTTGTCAGAACAGCATGAATGGCTGAATCTGAGGCAGAGGGAGCAGCATATCACCCCATGCTCTGAGAGCCCAAAGATATCACTCTTTACACCCCATGAAGTGATGGTAGATGTCATTCTGTATATGTTTCTCATACTGGTTAATAATAAAGCACTGTTGGCCAATAGGAAAGGAAGTTAGGAGGGACTAGGAGACAAGGAGGAAATAGGAAGTAGTAAGGAGGAGTCAAGATGGAGAGTCTGGAGAAAGCAGTATGCCGCCGGCTCCCCGGTAAGAGAAATACATAGATCAGCAGAAATGGGTTAATACTTAAGACAGAGTTAGCCGATAAGAAAGTAGTAGCTGGCCAACAGTATAATATCTAATACAGAGTCTCTGTGTATTATTTGGGGCTGGCTTGGTGGCGGGAGAAGACCAGGCGGCGGCGGAAAAACCGTACGCCTTACAAATGGCACCCACGTGGCTAGTAAGAACTTCCACTTAAAATTTAACAAAAGGTTAAAAAAGGGTTAGTTCATGAAGTACATTTCTACACAGGTATAATCAGAAATCTAGAACCCAGTGTGGGTTCAAAAGTTGATTATAAGCTTGCAAATTACTAACTCCATTTTGAATGAGTTCTTTAGATTTTCTCTACCTCATCTTTACGAAATTGATATTCTAATTCATAAGGTTCATTCAGTAAAAGTCAAGATGAGTTGCAAGTTGTAAGTTCTTTGGGGAGACATGGCTGAACATTACATAAGTCCCTTTACTGGATGGTTAATACAAAGTGCATGGAGAGGCATTAAGTAAGAAAGAGGTTACAGTTATCTTTGGGCTGTCCCTGTGATCATTTTCAGAGGCTAGCCATAGCAAGTCTGCTTAGGAGCCAATCTTCCGGTATATAAAATCCACCTTTGACATTTAAAGGTTGTAATTTTAGATGCATTGTTTAAGCTGTTTATTGATGGGAGATGTCATTCTGTATATGTTTCTCTTATTGGTAAATGAATAAAGCACTGTTGGCCAATAGGAAAGGAAGATAGGAGGGACTAGGAGACAAGGAGGAAAGAGGAAGTAGTAGGGAGGAGCCAAGATGGAGAGTCTGGAGAAAGCTGAATGCCGACCGGCTCTCCGGTAAGAGAAATACATAGATCAGCAGAAATGGGTTAATACTTAAGACAGAGCTAGCCAATAAGAAACTAGTACCGGGCCAACAGAATTATATCAAATACAGAGTCTTTGTGTGTTAATTGAGGCTGGCGTGGAGGCAGGACAAGACCAGGCGGCGGGAAGGAGAAACCTTACTCCTTACAGTTTATGTCTGTTTTCTTCATCATTTTGAAGAGGACAATTCAGTCCCGACACTTAGATTTAGTGTGAAGCAACTGAACAGAAGGAGTACACAGCACAGGGGTAGATATCCTGTCTGGCATAAGCCCTACTTCAACCTCAAGTGCAGAACAAAAAAAGATGTGATTACCATTTGATAATCACTCAGCTGAGGTTAGTTATTCTGTTCTCAGAGTAGAACACAGATAATGCACATGGCCGGCCATGCAGCTGACTATATATCAAGGCTAAAAGAACTTCAAACATAAAAAGAACAGCAAAGTGTAAGACATAGAAGTATATTGAAATCATATGATTGAAATAATATAAACAAATGTTAATAAAAGAGTTACTTAAAATACTCAATGAGTTATAATAAACATTAATCAGTTTTCCTTGGACATGTTGCTATATAATAATTGGAAAAGGAAGTCAATTATACCTAACCCACAAAAAAAGACATACTTAGTTATGGACGTTTAAGAGAAGAAATCATCCTGAATGAGGTAACCCAGTCACAGAAAGAGGAACATGGTATGTACTCACTCATATATGGATTTTAGACCTGGAGCAAAAGATCACCAGCATATAATTCACACCACCAGAGGAACTAGGATACAAGGTGTATTTTAAGAGATCATTATAAAGTCCCTCACACAAGGGGGAAAGGACATGTCCCCCAGAGTACAGGGGAAGTAGGGGGGCAGTGAATGGAGAGAGTAGGAGAATTAGAGGGGGAGGAGAGGAAAACATGTATGACTAGTGAGATTGAGTCAGGGTAGTAATAGAAGACAGGAGAGAGAGGGAAAGAGAGAGAGAGAACATAAAAGAGGGCACCAATATTGGTTTGAAGAGAAAATTGAACCCAAAGAAAAGTCTAGAGACCTACAAGACTGCCGCCAACTAACAATTTGAGCATCTATTGTAAGGCTACCATATATGCCCTTCCCGGATAGTGAGATCAACAACTAACTTATCCATGGAGCCCTCCTGTTGGAAACAGAAGGAAACACCCATACCAAAAACCCTAAACACTGAGTTGAGCTAGAACCCAGATACAGATGGAGAGGACAAGACCAGGTTGCAGAAACACATAGAGACAGCTGACCTGAGCAAAGAGGAGCAAAGAGTCCCCAGACTGATAGCTGAGAATCCAGCATGGGACTGACTCAGGCCCCCCTGAATATGGGTCTCAGCCAGAATGACTGAACAGTCTAAGGGACCTCAGACAGTGGAACCAAGATGTATTCCTGGTACACAAAAGGACCTTGTGAACACATCCCTCATGGAAGGATACTGCCTTAACCTAGAGACAGGAGAGAAGCCCTAGTCCCTACTTCAAATGAACTTTCAGATCTACATGACCCCATCTGGATGTCATTACCCTACATATGGAATTGGGGTTGGGGGATGGGAGAGGACGGTGGTCAGGGTGCATGTGAGGGGTCAGAGAGGATAAAAGGGAGGGAGGGAGTAGCGACAGGAAATGCATAAGGTTGGCATTTGACAGATGAGTATCATCACATAATTTATAATTGCATCTGGTAAAGGCAAAATAATAAAACATTGATATATTTTAGCCACAAGTAAATATGCAAGAGTTTACAAGCTCAAAGATAGAGCAGTTCCTAAAAGTAGTGGTCTTTTGTGTGTATGTGAAGGTAAATTATTAGCTAGTTATTTATATGAAAAGTGCTTGGAGAACTTTTCACATTAACATGTTCTTGCTATAATATAGGAGAGATGTCTTTTCCATTTGGAAATTATAAATATACAAGATGTTGTTTGGAGAAATACTTTATAACCCAAAATATAAAGACCACAGTGAAAGATGTGGCTTGAATGTGAAATACTCTCCATTGGCTTGCGTATTTAACAATTGTTCCCAGCTGTGGAGTTTTGTTTCTTTTGGTTTAAATGTCTTTTGTCTTATTAGTCTTTTGTTTGTTTGTTAGTTGTGTGTGTGTGTGTGTGTGTGTGTGTGTGTGTGTGAGTGTGAGAGAGAGAGAGAGAGGTGAGAGAGAGAAAGAAAGAGAGAGAGAGAAAGAGAACTTAAACTGGTGGCTAGGGAGGTAAGGAGGGCCAGGAAAAGTTGGAAGAAAAAACTAACATGATCAAAATATGTTGCATGAGAAGAAATTAAAATGTAAAAGTAAAAGAAGAAATAAACTGCAAAAATCAGCGGGGACTTTGCTGTGCCTCTGCTAGAGACCAGGCTATTCACTCTGGACCACCCTGAGTCTCCGCCTGCCTGACTGTTGACCCCTATTGCCAGGCCTCTGTAGGACATGAGTCTGGGACCAGTTCCAGTTGAATCCCCCCATACCCTTCCCTGGGAACTCCCTGGATTGGCATCAAACTCGCTCCCCCGTGTCCTGTCCCCAGTGAGAGCGCTCTTGGTGCTCTGAATCACAACCTCCCCCAGAGCCTGCATCTCCCCACCATGTGCCCTACCCTGACCACTGCCCCACTGCTCTGGTTGAGCACTGGATCAGTAATCCTGCCACCTCCTAGGAACTTCCTGGAGCTTCTCTGAGCGTGCTAGACCCACCTATCCACACAAGGCCACCCTGAGTCCCTGCCTGCCTTGTCTTTGACCCCCATCGCAGGGCCGCTGCCTATTGAGAGACCTCCTAGAGAGCTTGGACCACACAGAGCTACAGACATTGAACCTCTGACCCACCTAAGCCTACTGGGGGAGTATCATAAAGAGAGAGAAACCCCACTTGCACCCACTGGAAGAAGCTATGGGAAGAAGGCTATAGAAAAAGATACCTAACAATAGAAAGACAAGTGTCTCACCACAAGAATCCAGGGCCTCTACACCAACTAGACCTGCACACACCAAAGCAGATGAAGCAGAAGAGAACGACTTAAAAATTATCTTCATAAAAATGATAGATGATGTGAGAAAATCCCTTAAAGAAATGGAAGAAAAAAAAAAACAAACAGAAAAAATAGAGGAAAATACCAAACAAAAATGTAAGAAATGAACAATTCTCTTAAAGAAAGTAAAGAAAGCAAAGAAAAAACAATCAAACAGGTGAAGGAAACAGTTTAAGACTTGAAAACTGACATAGAGACAATAAAGACAACACAAACTGAAGAAATGCTGGAAATAGAAAAACTGGGCAAACGATCAGGAACGACAGACACAAGCATAACCAGAATACAAGAGATGGAAGAGAGAATCTCAGGTGCTGAAGATAAACTAGAGGAAATAGATTCATTGGCCAAACAAAATCTTAAGTCCAACAAATCCGTAACACAAAACATCCAGGAAATGTGGAACACTGTGAAAAGTCCAAACCTAAGAATTATAGTCATAGAAGAAGTTGAAGAATCCCAGCTCAAAGGTGCAGAAAACATATTCAACAAAATCATTGAAGAAAAGGTTCCCAATCTGAAGAAGGGCATGCCTATAAGAGTACAAGAAGCATACTGTACACCAAATAGACTGTACCCAAAAGAAAGACCCCTCGACATATAATAATCAAAACACCTAACATACAGAATAAAGAAAGAATATTAAGAGCAGTGAAGGAGAAAGGACAGGTAATAATATAAAGGCAGGCCTATCAAAATTACACCTGACTTCTCCATGAAAACTCTTAAGGCCAGAAGGTCCTAGATAGATGTTCCACAAGTACTAAGAGTTCATGGATGCCAGCTCAGGCTACTGTACCCAGCAATCACTATAGATGGAGAAAACAAGATATTTATTGACAAAGTGAGATTTTCACAATATGTATCTACAAATCCAGCCCTACAAAAAGTTCTGGAAGGAAAACTCTAACCCAAGGAAGTTAACTACGTTCACAAAGACGTAGGCAATAGATAATCCCACTTCACCAGAACCCAAGAGTAAAGCAAGACAATATATTCACAATACCACTGCCAACAACAAATATAAAACAGAGAAGCATTAACAATCAATGGTCCTTACTCTCCCTCAACATTAATGGTCTTAACTCACCTATAAAAAGACACAAGCTAACAGAATGGATAGGAAGACAGAATCCATCCTTCTGCTGCATACAAGAAACACATCTAAGCTTCAAAGATAGACATTACCTCAGAGAAAAGGGTTGGGGAAAAGATCTTCCAATCAAATGGAACCAAAAAGCAAGCAGGCATGGCTATCCTAATATCTAACAATTTAGTCTTCAAACCAAAATCAATCAAAAGAGATGAAGACGGTCATTTCGTATTCATCGCAGGAGAATCCATCAACACAAACTCTCAATTCTGAACATCTATGCCCCTAAAAAGTCACTCACATTCATAAAAGAAACATTACTAAAACTCAAAGCTCACATAAAACCTCACACCCCACTCTGACCACTAGACAGGACCACCAGTCAGAAATTTAACAAAAGAACTAACAGAAGTTATGTCTCAACTGGGTTTAACAGACATTTCTAGAACATTCCATCCAAACAAAAAAGAATATACCTTTTTCTCTGCTCCACATGGAACCTTCTCTAAAACTGACCACATACTAGGCAACATAACAAACCTCACCAGATCCAAAAAATTGGAATAGTCCCCTGTATCTTATCAGATCACCAGGCTTTAAAGTTGGGATTTAACAACAACACAAATCACAGAAACCCTACAAACTCATGGAAACTGAACAATGAACAATTGCACCATATCTGGGTCAAAGAAGAAATAAAGAAAGAAATTAAGGACTTCCTAGAATTCAATGAGAATGAGGACACAACATACCTGAACTCATGGGACACCTTGAAAGCAGTGCTACGAGAAAGTTCATTGCACTAAGTGCACATATGAAGAAAACAGAGGATAGTCGCATAAGAGAATTAACAGCACAACTGAAAGCCTTAGAACAAAAAGGAGCAAACTTACAATGTAGGAATAGATGCCAGAAAATAATCAGTTTGAGGGCTGAAATCAATAAAGTAGAAACCATGAAAACAAAAAATCAATGTAACAAAGAGTTGGTTTTTTGAGAAAATCAACATGATAGACAAACCTTTATCCAAACTAACAAAAATGCAGAGAGAGAACATGCAAATTAAGAAAATCAGAAACAAAAAGGGGGACATAACAACGGACACAGAGGAAATCCAGACAATTTTCAGGTTATACTTTGAAAAAGTGTACTCCACAAAATTTGAATATTCAAAGGAAATGGACAAATTTCTAGATAACTATCACTTACCAAAATTAAATCAAGAACAGATAAACAACATAAATATATCTATAGCCCTTAATGAAATAGAAGCAGTCATTAAAAGCCTCCCAACTAAAAAAAAAAAAAAAAAAAAAGAAAAGAAAAAAAAAAAAAAAAAAAAGCCCAGGGTCATATGGCTTCAGTGCAGAATTTACCAGAAATTCGAGGAAGAGCTAGAGCTAGAACCAACACTCCTCATATAAACAGTGGAGTGCTTTTCCACAGGGGGAAAGAAATTGAAGGACAATGCTCATAGAGGTAACCCAGGCACAGAAAGAAAATTGCCACTAGCGAAATTCCCAGGAACCTCAAGGATGAATCCAGCTACAAATCTAAGCTGTAGTGTAGAGGTTACTTTAAATGTCTTTCCCCTATAAATAGATTGATGATCTATATCAAATAAATGATGGAAACACAAGTAGAAAGTCACAGGTAAGCAGTCACAGGTGAGCACTGAGGCTAACTCCATGAGTCCATTTCTGGAAAGGGAGGAGTGATGAAGAAAGGGTGAAGAGCTGGTCCGGGCATGTGGGAGCTCACAGACTCCAGACTGACAGACGGGGAACTTACAAAACACCAAGTCAGCACACCTGAATGTGGGAGTCAGTAAGGGGGCTTGTGCACCTTATGGCGCCCCTCAATGAGCTCCCATTTTGGAGCGCATTCCCAATTGAGGGAAACTTTCTCAGCCTAGGTACAGGATGGAGGGTCTTGGTTTTGTCCATAATTATATGACAGACTTTGATGATCTCTCCTGGGATGCTTTTCCTCTCTGAGGAGTGGATAGGGTTTGGAGTAAGGAGTTGGTGGGTGGAACTGGAGGATGAGTGGGAGAGGGAGCTGAGATTGTAATATACAATATGATTATTTTTAATTTAAATTAAAAAAAATTAAAACTAAAAGAAAAATCAGTGGGGAAACAAGTGAACATGCTCTTTTGAGCAGATAGCAAAAGATAATTTTTCCACCGTGTGTATTCTCGGCACTGTAGACGGAGAGTCTAAAGATGAAAACTAGTCACACAGAGGCGGGAAGTTTCATGTACATACACATGGCACCTTATCACTCAATGGATACTGGAAAGTGTTGTGATTTTCCCCATAACACTGATGAGTGTGCTTGTAGAGGCCTCCTTCACATGGCAGGCTTGCCAGGCCCTGGAGAGATTCGTAGCAGAAGAGTGAGCCATTTGCTGTCCGTGGCAATGCTTAGTGTTACTGAGACAGTAAAAAGCAGAAAACTTAAAGACCACTCTGAATTAAAATAGAGGTCGAATGTCCTGTGAATAGTGGCAAGGAATCCACTTCAGTCAGAGCTGTTAAGGGGTGGGATTTGTTCAGGTGACAGAGTATTTACCTCAACCCTATGGAGTCCTGTCTTCTTTGTTCAGGTGACAGAGTGCCTGCCTCAACCCTATGGAGTCCTGTCTTCAAGCTACGGCACCACATAAACTCGGCATGGTGCCATGTGCCTCAAATTCTAGCCCTTTTGAAGTGGGGCCAGGAGGATCAGAAGCTCAAAGTTACTCTCTGCTACACAGTTTGAGGCCCACCTGAGCTACATGAGGCCCTGTCTCAAAGAAGCAAACAGAACCAGTGAAGATTTACAGAGGACACTCAGAAATGAGTTCAAGGGAAGAGAACAGAGGTAGGGATCTGGGGGAGAAGGATCATGGGAGTTCTTAGAGACTATGACATTTTAATCCCCAATGGACACCGGGATTACAAGGCTGACGGTGAAGTAAAGGCTTGGCTGTGTCTGAGCAGTGTGCCTACCTGAGCTCCTTCAGCTGCCTGAGCAAACTCTGCTTATACTTTTCTGCATTCCGTTTTTCGTTAACAATATGTTGCTTCTGTTCTAACTCATTCATGTTTTTCTTCATTCTGTCAACTTGAAAGATCCCTCTGAGCAGAAGGGCCCGCTCATTGTTAATGTTCTGCACTAAGGAATGGTCAAGAGCATTTAGCTTTTTTTCAGCTAAAAACATGGTCTTCCGCTCTCTAACTTTTTCAAGATAGGCAAGTTTTTTCCTCCAAATTTGCCGTAAGCCTTTCTGGATCATCTCATTATCCTTTTCCATCTGCCTTTGTGCCATATACATTTTCCTCCTTAAAGTCTCTCTTATGCTGAACCTAGCTCTTTGCTGGTCAATCTGTGCCATGACTACAATGGTCGATTTTTCTGCTTGCTTTTCTTGGTGCTTTCGGTCTGAGTGGTATTTATCAAGGTCTTTAAAGGCCTGGAGCTCCAAGCCCGCCCTCTGTGTGGCTAAAAACTCTCTCCTTTCCCTCAGCTCCTTTAGTGGCAGTCTTATAATGGGTGGCTTTGGCCGAGTAGCTGGAAGAGGCTGGAGATAGTCTGGGAAGTAGTCCCGTTTCATCTCCTTCAACACTGCACCATACTTGAGCGATCTAGGAGAATATAAAGGAATCTTCATGGTAGATAACCTAAACCTAGTGTCTACTTCTTCGTCCTCTTCCTCAGCTTTGGACGCCTTCTGACCTATATCAGAGCAGACAGAAAAACAATATAAGAGCTAAGTTTATTTTCCCTTCAAATACTTTGGAAGTTACACAAACTATGTCAGGGGGAACACATAATCATTTTATCCATATTTTCCTCAGGTTTTTAACTTGTGATATTGGACAAGAGAGCCAGATTGCACCATCTTCCCATGCAATTTTTCTTCACATGGTTTGTTGTCCCTTGTACCTCCTCTCATGATCATTTAACCTATACACCTTCAGCAGTAGCACGTAGTACTTATTACTAAATGTATAGTGCTTAGACATAGTTTTTGTGTACTTGGGCATAATGTTTACATACTCAGATATGTTTTGTGGAGTTAGACATCTTTTTTTTTTTTGTATATACTTTTAGACACAGAATTTTGGGTAGATTGCTAAAAAGGGAAAACTTCACATACATTGAACTGAATAAGCTACAAGGAACAAGTACATCGTGAGTTGCCAGTGATGACTATGACTCATCTGCTCTGTGCTAGGAAAACTACATTAATTATAGTCTATCATTGTCCCATTTGGGCATGGTCTAGAGTGGTCCGAGCTCTACTGCCATGATTGGCTGTAGCGTAGCTCTTTGTTTCAAAGTAATTCTCCTACAAGCATATTAGTGTGTGCTTGTACTGAGTTTGGTAGCCATGAATAGGAAACTTTAGTCCAAATGTACCTTTAGAAGGCAGTGTTTTAACCTGTGTTTTGCCAGTGGTGGTGTTATTTCTACCTATAGTGAAATCTAGTAGCTGTAACCAAAATGTTTCTCATTTCTTTTTTATTTTCAAAAGACATTTACGACACTCAGCCTCTTTGGTTTGCTACTGCATGTCAGGATGAGATGTATTCCCCCCCAAAGTGAAATAAAATGTATTATCCCATCTTATCCAAGGCTTTAAAGAGCACACATCTCCTCTGTTGCTTCTTCTGACCACTGTACAAACACGAGAATGAAACAACCCTTTTAGAACCCAAGGGACAAAAGCCTCCCTGGTTACAGAAGTACTGAAAATGTCACAGCTCTGGAGGGAAAGGTATGCGGACTCTTCAGGAAGTCAGGCTATCCTTGACACTACAGTACAGTGTGTGTGTGTGGTGGGGTGGACTCCTGAAGAGCGTAACAATTCCACTTCTCTCTAAGAGAGAGCCTCTGCAGCTGCACCCAGGTGGGTTCCCACTGGGGAATGTCCTAGTAGAGCTAACCCTTTCTTCTGCTCTGGCCCAAGATGACACTTCTGCTTTACTCTAATAAAGTAGAAACTCCTGCAGAAATGTAGCAATCTCCCTGGCTACAATGACAGCCCAGCTAAGGGAATATCTCAGCAAAGGTTCTTATGCTCCACGCTGGTGAAAGAAGATCTTCACTCAAAACTCTTTTAAGAAAGAGATATATTTGGGCAGGAGAAGTTCAGGACAGTGGCTGCCTCTGCCAGGGAGGGAAAAGACATCCAGCAACTCAACAGGCAGAGGAGCTTCTACAGGGCTTCTTAGGCATAGAGTTTCCACAGTGAGAAGATTTTGGTTTAGTTGATCAGGGACAGATTTGGCTCTGGTTTTAGGGCCAAACTGTGTTTATTTCACCTTTTTAGCCTTTTGGCTCGATTTTCAGGGCAAGGATATATTGCTTTCACTGGCTCTGTTTCCAGAGCCAAAGTGTTTTTCTTGGTCCTGGTTTCAGGGCCAGGGTTTGTTTTATTTCTTTGTCTGGCCCTTTTACCCTACAACAACCAGTTGAAACACTAATCATACACTAGAATTATCCAGCTGTGACTGTGATGGAGCTGAAAATAAATTAGAACCATGCATCAGACCATATTCACTTGGGGGGGGGTCTATTTTTTATGACAGCCAGCCTGACACATACAATAACTAGCATTCTGTATTCCCCCATATTTAATCTTCATAAATCTATCTGTGCATAAGAAATAAATAAGACATAGATATAAAAGTTTACTAATCTCAGGAAAGAAATGCATCCTATGTGAGATTTCATTTCCCTGCTAGAGACTGCACCTGTGCGTCCCTATCTAGTGACTTCACATCATCACGCTTGCAGGATCCCTTTAGTGTCTTTATGTTAAAATGCTAAAGCTGACAGTGGCAGGTTCATGGAGCAAAGGTAGCGATGAGGAAGATCATGGTATATGCCACAAAGAGGCAGTGGAACAGAGCAATGGCTGGTAGTTAAACTAAATGCCCAAAGGATGCCCATATGCGAAGATCAAGCAGTGCGTAGCATTAAACTATACATGAACCATATAATTTTAAAAGGTACTATTTGAGAATACAAAGGCAAAGCAGCCAAAAGCAAATATAGAACATGGCTAAATACAGACAGCAGGATCCACGATGATGAAGGTAGAGTCTGCCACTGTCTAGAGATATGCTAGACTGGTTTTTAAAGGCCATTTCATTTTGATCATCCTTTATTACTTTAATGGGAGATGCTATAGCCACAAAAGCATATGTATTGCTTAGCATTATCAAGCTTGCTTGCTTGTGAATGCTTGATGAAAAGTTGGCTCAGAGGTGCATGACATCAAGCCATGTGGTATGCCCTAACCATTTTATTACAGAGGTTGGTAGTCAAAGATAGGTAATATCTTTTTGTCTTCAGGCAACCTAAGACAGATCATACACGACAGAATGTGTGTTACAATGACTGGTAAGGCTGGAAGGTGAAAGAAGACAACCTAAGACAGGCACAGTCATCTGTCCTGTGGTAGAAGCACAGATGTTAATTAAATTTACATGGGGGATAGTTGGATCCCACAAAGATGGCTCTGCTTCATCTTGGCTCAAGGTCAGAGAGATCAAAACTGTCCTCAGTAAGCCATAAGACATAAAGGTCTAATGCATGTCTTATCTAAATAACAACAGACTTGGTCTGAGGTGTGATTACTCTTGACCCTCTGGACCAGATAATGGGAAATAGCGTCTACGGTGTGGTTACTAAATGCTTGGAGAATTAAGGAAGAAAGTCTATTTGTTCCTTATATATGACAAGGAAATATTTTGCCATGTTCCCCTTTCAGGTTGGAGTATTTAAGAATGTTGAAGAATAAACTTGGGGCATCCAGTATTCACTGGATTGCCTTCCCAACTCTATCCTGTGACTGCCTTTTCCTTAAGTGTTTTTACCTGCTATTTTTCAACCCACACTCCCCCCTTCAGGTATGAATCAGGCAAGTGGGCTGGGTCCGACTGAAGCCCCACAGAGATGGCTTATAACCTTGCTTGTTCACATTCTTTCCATCTTCAATGTCTTTTCATGCAGCGTTTCTCTATAATCAACAAGCAAGAAGGATTCTTAAAGTCTTATGTCAGTTTCCTTATCATGGTAGTTGGCCATTTGCCACAAAAGGAAAGTACTGGTAACAAGGTCTCTTCAGAGAGATCCCTCTCCTTTGATGTCAACTCCATCCTAGCATTTTACACAAAACTGCTATTGTAGAGTGATGATTTAATGCATCACTCTTCAGCAGTTGCAAGATGTTAGAAGGGAGGATGGTGATACTGATCTGACCCTCAAGAGTGAAATTGCTTGAACTATTTAAAGCTTTGAGTGTGGAGCCAGTTCCACCAGGTTCAAACCCCACCTAGAAAGGATAATGTGTAACTTATATGCCTAATTGCCTTATACCTACGTATGTAAACCTATTAACTCTTTACTTCTGTCAGGAAAATATTCAGGTCCTCTTCCCATTTTATTTTTTTCTCTGTCAATGAATTATATGAGTTTGTTATGTGTTTTATATCCTTCTGTATCATATATGAAATGTATAAATATTTTCTCCCATTCCATATATTATTTCTTTGGGTATTTTGTTTGCTTGTTTGTTTTGTTATACAGCAGAGTTAATGTATGTAGTCTCACTTATTTTTACTTCTGTTGCCCATTTTATGTACATATAAAAATAAAGTGTTCGTAATATTCCTGTCAAGAGTCATGCCTCTGCCTTTTCTCTACAATTGTTAGTATCAGATTTTATGAGGATTAAGTTTCTTGTCAATTGCACATTGCTTTTGTGTGTGTGTGTGTGTGTGTGTGTGTGTAAGGTATAAGAGTCCTTTTTTATTGTTTGAAGTGTACATATCCATATCCAGCTTTTCCAACACTCCTGATTGCTAAGCTTGTTTGCTAATTATTTTAGTATCTTTGTTAGTTGATGGCACACATGGCCCTTGGTTCATGTAGGTTTTGGTGACAGTAGAGCTTTAAGAATTATCATTATGTTTCCACATACAACCATTTTACTTAGAGACTATTTTATAAGTCCAAAGTCCTTCTACAATATTTAGGAATAAGGAGACCAGAAAGTTCAATAATAGACAAATATCATCTCCTTGTTTGGTTACCTCTTCTGGTCACACTCACGTGTTCAGTCTCCACATGGATCTCTTTTGTGCCATGCCCATGACTCAACTCAGCTAATGGACCAACAGTGCCTACTGGACCCTTGTGAGAACATCAGCATGGACAAGAGAGGGATTATGTTTAGGTGAGGAGATGGCAAAGGATATTTTTAATGGAGAAGGTGATGTGGATAAGAGGATCCTTTGGTGTTTTCCAAGATTCCTCCAATTATATACAGATCAGCAGTGGAGATCACTATAGCTCTGTGTTCTAGAGTTCAGAACTGAACTCTTAGCAATCACATGCACAGCAGACTCTGTCGTCTAGAGTATCTCCATGTCAAATAATTTAATAAAATTGTCACTGCTCAGGGTCTGCTTGTTGCGGCAGATATTTCTAAGAGACATAGTCTCGTGGAAGATTACAGCAAGATCTATAGAATGACAGAAGTAAAACACATGCTGCCACCCAACCTGAAGACTCTCAGAGGTGAAGAACTAGGGGCAACTAATGCCTTTGAGAGACGGGAAATTAGCCTCTCCCGGGCATGAACCCCTGAGTCATTTACCTAACACAGAATAGTCAGCTCTGCGATCATATACACACATAAGGTAAGACATTCAGCATGAAGT